CAGACCAGACAAAATAGGACAAGCAGTATTAATCTGGTCTGGAACGGACTGCGCTGGTGTGAACAGAGCCCAGGAATAGCATTGGGATACATTTGGGTCCAGAAACAATCTGGTCTGGTCTGAGGATGATCCGGACATGGTGTGAATGGGCCCTAAGGGCTTGTAAGTTCGGTTGAGAGTTGAAATAAGCACACAACCTTGACAGTAACTGTTTTTGGAGACATGAAATTGGTGGGTCTAGTTCCACTTAAAGGAGAACTATGAGGTGAGTGAAAATCACTCACCTCATAGTTCTAGCCGACCTGTGACAATGAAACTGTCACACATCGGCTCAATAGATCGGGAAGTGAGCGAGCACATACCGTCGCTCGCTCACTTCTCGATCCTGTCCCTGCAGAGAGCTGTGACTGTCACTCCCGGCTCCCTGCAGGGATTCCCCCCTCCCCGCTCCGATCCTTCAGCGCTGACTGGCGGAACAGACGGTGGAGGGGGCGGGTACAGCTGGCTCTGCCTCTAGATAGGCAGAGCCCGCTGTCACTCACGCAGCCGGGTAGATGATCCAGACAGTAATGTCTGGATCTTTCCCGGCTGCAGCGTTTCAGTATACCGCAAGCTAATACTGAGCTTTGGGTGACGGGAGGACGCTAGTTTGTGTCCTCCCGTTACCCTTAAGAGAACTATGGGGAAAAGCCCTGACCCCATAGTTCTCCTTTAAAGAAAAACTTAAAGAAAATCTACAACAGGTTACTGCGCTCTGCACATTATTTTTGCTCGCTGCATTGAGTAAAGAAGGTGATATGTAGCCCATGAGCATTGCAGGCGCGTAGTGTGACGCTGTCCCCGAGAACAACTGAAAATTACCTAAAATCCCCCCCACAATGGTTAGCCATGGTTTCCCTGGGATTTTACCAAAGACAATTGCCAATCATCGCTCATCCCCCATATCTGTCACTAAACAAAGTGCATGTTAGCATGCAATTATGTATGGGTACTACGGCTGCAAACAACTAATCGATTAATTAATAATGATAGTTGTCAACCATTCTCATTATCAATTAGTTGTTTGGATTCCCTAGCACCCCCCACCATCCTGGGAGGAGGGCACAGCAGGCAGTGGGCGGGTGCAATAGCCAGCCTGCAATTGGCTATTGCAATCTGAACTGGCCAATAGCAGGCTGGCAATTGCACCAGCCCACTACCTGCTGTATTTACATTCATCTGCTGTCTGTGGAATCTTGCCACTGGCAGCTGTCATTCCCTGGCTGAAGCTGTTCAAGCGCCATGTGCTCACAATACAATTATAAAAAGCATTATAAAAAGGTGGGAAAAAGTAATCTTCCATTTTGTCCTGACAAATTCTGCTGCGGGCGGTGCGATGCAGTGCCATTCATTTCAATGGCACCCCAAACGCGCCTCCCACCCACGTGTGATCACCCGCACTGGAACGCACGGTACCGCAATGCCATGCGTTCCAGTGCAGTGATTGCAAAAAATTGTGCATGTGGCTTTATTCTGAAGTATACTTTATGTTCGTAACACTGTATTTGTGTATTTTATTTTAAATTAATGATGGTATTTAATTTTTTCTATCCGATGATTCACAAATATAATCGGCCAACTAATCAATTAGGAAAACATTCATTAGTTGCAGCCCTAATTGGTACTCTGAGCAGTGGGGGTTAACATTTCTCTCGTCATTAACCACTAAATGTAAACATTGTGCTAAATACAATTTCATTCAAAAAGGATTTTAAAAATCTCTCCTCTCTATATATATTCACACACACCGATGTTATCAACCACCCGCCTACAAGCTGCCAACATTTCATCCCAATTTCCAGGGTTCCCATTCTGCTTAGGTGGGGTATGTACATGAATCCTCTATACCAGCTATAGATGTTCCCTGCTGTGTCTGCTCCATCGCAATGAGACCTGCACCTTCCCCGCTCTCAATAAACATACCTGCAATGCAGGAAAAGATCTGCAGTACATTCACTTCATTCTGCAGAGCGGGGACATCCCAGAGAAAAGACTTCAGCACCAAACACTGCAAATCACAGCCGACTGTCAGTCCGGCCAATGATCTGTCCAGAGAAATGACGGCCCCGGGGCAATCCAGAGACCTTGGAGAGCCTCTGTCACTGTGAGGTGTCCCCCTGTGACCCCTATGTACAGCAGGCTGATTACATGTCATAGTAAGCTGTCTTTGTGTACAGCAGACCCCGCCTGTGTCACCAAGATATGTCAGAGACTCCCCCAGAGTTGTCCGGGACCCCCAGATATGTCAGAGACCTCTCCCCCCAATGTATACATGTCATGGTGACATGTCTTTGTGTACAGCAAACCCACCTGTGATACCCAGACATTTCAGAGACCTTCCCCCAGAGATATCAGGGACCCCCCTATATCCAAGTCATGGTGTCCTGTCTCTGTATACAGTAGACCCCTCCTGTGTTACCAAGAAATGTCAGCAACTATCCCAGAGATGACAGGGACCCCCCCACCCCCCGTGCTGTTCTGTCTCTGTATAACCCAGAGATATCAGGGGACGGACCCCAACCCATGTATACATGTCATGGTGTCCTGTCCTGTCTCTGTATACAGCAGCCCCTGCCGTGTCACCCTGACATGTAAAGGACCCTCCATGTATGCATGTCATGGTGTCCTGTCCTGTCTCTGTATACAGCAGCCCCTGCCGTGTCACCCTGACATGTAAAGGACCCTCCATGTATGCATGTCATGGTGTCCTGTCCTGTCTCTGTATACAGCAGCCCCTGCCGTGTCACCCTGACATGTAAAGGACCCTCCATGTATGCATGTCATGGTGTCCTGTCCTGTCTCTGTATACAGCAGCCCCTGCCGTGTCACCCTGACATGTAAAGGACCCTCCATGTATGCATGTCATGGTGTCCTGTCCTGTCTCTGTATACAGCAGCCCCTGCCGTGTCACCCTGACATGTAAAGGACCCTCCATGTATGCATGTCATGGTGTCCTGTCCTGTCTCTGTATACAGCAGCCCCTGCCGTGTCACCCTGACATGTAAAGGACCCTCCATGTATGCATGTCATGGTGTCCTGTCCTGTCTCTGTATACAGCAGCCCCTGCCGTGTCACCCTGACATGTAAAGGACCCTCCATGTATGCATGTCATGGTGTCCTGTCCTGTCTCTGTATACAGCAGCCCCTGCCGTGTCACCCTGACATGTAAAGGACCCTCCATGTATGCATGTCATGGTGTCCTGTCCTGTCTCTGTATACAGCAGCCCCTGCCGTGTCACCCTGACATGTAAAGGACCCTCCATGTATGCATGTCATGGTGTCCTGTCCTGTCTCTGTATACAGCAGCCCCTGCCGTGTCACCCTGACATGTAAAGGACCCTCCATGTATGCATGTCATGGTGTCCTGTCCTGTCTCTGTATACAGCAGCCCCTGCCGTGTCACCCTGACATGTAAAGGACCCTCCATGTATGCATGTCATGGTGTCCTGTCCTGTCTCTGTATACAGCAGCCCCTGCCGTGTCACCCTGACATGTAAAGGACCCTCCATGTATGCATGTCATGGTGTCCTGTCCTGTCTCTGTATACAGCAGCCCCTGCCGTGTCACCCTGACATGTAAAGGACCCTCCATGTATGCATGTCATGGTGTCCTGTCCTGTCTCTGTATACAGCAGCCCCTGCCGTGTCACCCTGACATGTAAAGGACCCTCCATGTATGCATGTCATGGTGTCCTGTCCTGTCTCTGTATACAGCAGCCCCTGCCGTGTCACCCTGACATGTAAAGGACCCTCCATGTATGCATGTCATGGTGTCCTGTCCTGTCTCTGTATACAGCAGCCCCTGCCGTGTCACCCTGACATGTAAAGGACCCTCCATGTATGCATGTCATGGTGTCCTGTCCTGTCTCTGTATACAGCAGCCCCTGCCGTGTCACCCTGACATGTAAAGGACCCTCCATGTATGCATGTCATGGTGTCCTGTCCTGTCTCTGTATACAGCAGCCCCTGCCGTGTCACCCTGACATGTAAAGGACCCTCCATGTATGCATGTCATGGTGTCCTGTCCTGTCTCTGTATACAGCAGCCCCTGCCGTGTCACCCTGACATGTAAAGGACCCTCCATGTATGCATGTCATGGTGTCCTGTCCTGTCTCTGTATACAGCAGCCCCTGCCGTGTCACCCTGACATGTAAAGGACCCTCCATGTATGCATGTCATGGTGTCCTGTCCTGTCTCTGTATACAGCAGCCCCTGCCGTGTCACCCTGACATGTAAAGGACCCTCCATGTATGCATGTCATGGTGTCCTGTCCTGTCTCTGTATACAGCAGCCCCTGCCGTGTCACCCTGACATGTAAAGGACCCTCCATGTATGCATGTCATGGTGTCCTCTCTATGTGTACAACAAACTCCCCCAGTGTGACCCCTCCCAGGGATATCAGGGACCCCCGGTGTATACATTGCATGGTCTCCAATCTCTGTGTACAGCAGACCTCCTCTCCTGTGTCCCCCAGAGATGTCAGGGACCACCATAGGGATGTCAGGGGCCCCAGTGTATACATAGTACAGCACACCTCCTCTCGTGTGTCCCCGAGATACGTCAGGGCCCCCAGTGTATACATAGTACATCAGAGCTCCTGTCCTGTGTCCCCCAGAGATGTCAGGGGCCCCAGTGTATACACAGTACAGGAGAGCTCCTCTCCTGTGTCCCCCGTGTACACATGTCATGGTGTCCTGTGTCTATGTACACTATTATAGCCTGTGGACATCGTTCTATGATCTGTTCTACCCCGCCCCTCATTTCTACTCTCTCTGTCACCAGTCGCTCGGGTCTGACAAGCTTGCTGCAGAACTATAAGTCCCAGCATGCTCGGCCGGTCACATGCTACCAGGGAATGCTGCGACTTGTAGTCCTCCAGCAGCTGGAGGGCCGCAGGTTGCCCATGTCTGCTGCCACTATCTGCCCCCCTCCTTCTTTTGCCCCAGCCCCCCTTCACCTCACCTTTCTTTTGATCTGACCCGACGTAGACACTTTCCGGCTTAGCTTCTGCGGCTCGGGCTCCGGCTCGCTGTCGGATGAATCCTCGGCCGGGGCCCCGGAATCCGCCGCAGCCAGGGAGGCCGCCATCACTAGCCGAAAGCCGGGGACATGGACACACACAGGGCCAGCTGCAGGGGACCGGAATCATCTGGGGGAACAGCGACATCTGCTGGCAGCCGAGACAGACAGCCAGTGCGGGCACAGCGCCAACTGCTGGTGAATGGGCGCAGTGCCGGGGAGAGAATGAAAACTCCCACAACTCACCGCTCAGTCCGGCCACCGGAAGTCGTGTCATTTGTCATGGTGGAGATCCATCTCCTCCCAGAGGGTGAGGACAGTTTCAGTCCTGCTGGCTGTCCCTGTTCTGTACAGTGGTCCCTATGTTCTGATGGACAGAGCTCTAGAAATTATTCTTTTGGACCAATCTTGTACAAACGTGTTAAAATGCACATTTGTAACACATAAACATTCAAATCTCTCACAACAACCTACATTATTGAAAGTATGGGGCTAGTAGAATAAAATGATTGTATTTGCAGTTGCATGTCGCACTATAATTGTCCAAATGTTTATCACGTGTGTATTTTTAGTAAATAAAAATAATTAATTTTATTGCACACAAGCACATTATAGGGGGTCTACCTATCAGTGTTTTCACCTATTATTGACACAAAAGTTTTATTGCATCTTATTTAAAAAATGTGTAACTCTTGGGTACAAACATTGATAAATAGACCTCCAATCAACTCCAAATTCTGTTCACTCCTTGCTGCCACCTCCTGCCAGACACTGCTTATTACAGTCATTAAGAATCCCATTTGGGATCCAGACCAGTGTCTCTCAGCTGTTTTTTACTCACACCACCCTTTAAAATATGCGAAATCTCGAGGCACCCCAGTCTTAAATGTAAAAAAAGTAAATGTAAAAATTTGTCCCCTCAAAAACCATAAAAGACCCTTATCTGGAATAAGGATTTTAAGTGGGAACACACAAAAACACAGGGTTCTCCTCATTTTACATTAGAGCTTCCACCCTTTCACATCAGAATCCCTCCTTTCACATCAGTCACCCCCTCCCAAACCAGGAGGCCCCTTTAAATCAGAAGCCCCCTTCACATCAGAGTCATACCATCACATCAGAGCTCCCCCTTTCACATCACATCAGAATCTATCCTTTCACATCAGAGTCACCCCCTCTCACATCAGAGACACCACCTCTCACACCCTCCTTTCACTTCAGAGTCACCCCTTCTCACACCAGGAGCCCACTTTATATCAAAATCTTCCTTCACATCAGAGTTCTCAGTACTCCCTTTACATCAGAGTCATACCATCACATCAGGAGGCACAGCTGCGGCAATATGGTAGAGGGCAGGAGCTGGAGTGGGCCTGGGCAGAGTTGAACTTCCATCCTTTTCTGAACAGATCCCGCCCTCCCTGGATTAGCCTGCTTCTTTCTCATGGTGCTGGTGGATGGTCCACCTGCACTATGGTAGGGCATGATGCCGTGTGACAATTTTGAGGCACCACTGAGGAAGCCATAAGGCACACCAGGGTGCCATGGCACCCTAGTACAGGAAGGATCTAGACCCATGAAGCATAGGTGGGTAATAGTTAATGGTCAAGGTGTCTCATTCAGTGTAAGTTAATTTAGATAGAAATGGTCTAATGGGGAAAGGAAAAAAACAAGGGAGAGCTCTTCATAGATATAATCACACTCATGGGTTTGAAGCTATCTGTGCAGGCACTATTTTTAAAAACGCACCACAACACACAGTTGCAGCGCAGATGTGTTGGGGTACCTTCACAGCATGTGTTACCACAATGCCATTAAAATTGGAGCAGCCCTGGCTCCATATAATTACAACAGACTCCTTAGAGGGATTATTTGGATGAAAAAAAGAGAAGAAAAAAAGAGAAGAAAAAAAGGTTTGTGTAATTATGTCTTGTAATTCCAAGCCCCAGATTCTATTGTAGAGATGTGCATTCAGATTCCAGCGCACTTCCTGAATCACAAAATACTGTTGATTCAGCAGTTCGTCCGAATCTGAAATAATGAATTATTATATGCCTGAATATACAAAAAATATATTCGGGCATATAGTAATTCCTATCGTATGGGCGCCACCAGCTTGCAGCGTCCAAGACGGCGGCGCTCATAAATGCGTATGATGTTGCCCAACGGTTGAGTTATGGGGCATCATTCACCCGCCTCCAAGATGGCGGTGCGCATGCGCAGAAGGCATCGGTGGCCAATATGGCCACCACGCAGTTTGTTTTTTAAATGTGCGTTTTCGGATTCAGAGGTTTGTTGCCTCCGAATTCAAAACAGCATTAATATTCGTTACATCAAACGAAACGAATGAAAAGCTTTTCCCCTTTTCATTAGTTTCGTCCGAAATGAAAATATTTTTGCTGTGCACATGTCTATTCTATAGGGAACCCTCAAACAATGTCCTCCTTGAATTTAAAGAAGAATTGCAGACAAAGTGCACAAATTGGAAACTTTGTGAGACAAAATGTACAAAAATGCTTGAAACGCACATTTCCAGGCATTTGCCATTGAAGTATATGGGAAGTAATCTGCCAAAAAGTAGCTCGTACTTTTTCCGGCGACAGGCTTTTTCCTGCTTCCGACAAAATGCTCAGGTGTGAAAAGGGGCCATAGACATTAATGGGACAATTCCTTGTCTTGAGCGTTTTGTCGGACTTAGCTTTCAGTGAGAATACACCTAGGTGTGAACAGCAGCTAATAGGGTTGCCACCTGTCTGGGATTCGCCCGAACAGTCCGGGTTTTGAATGTTGTGTCTGGGTTTCATGTCAGGCAGACAGGGGCAACCAAAATTAAGATAGGGGCTACAGGCCCCCCACAGAAAATAGTCTCCACTGGGATATTTACACATGAGTGGGTGGTGCTATTTACATATGAATAAATCGCCACTCATTCTCCCCAAAAAAGTTCTGTGCGTCGCTAGAGTATTCGGGTTTCGATGGAAGAAAAAGGTGGCAACCCTAGCAGCTAACATTTATTATTTCCCTGCATTCCTTTTGGAATGTTGGTGCTTTATAAATCCTGTGTTTAAATAATAATAATAATAATAACAGTCTTTGCCCTTCTGATGGATATACCCCTTAAGGCAGAGGAAGCTAAACTCTAGCCCTCCAGCTGTCATGGAGCTACAAGTCCTATAAGGCTGGTGGGGTCAGTGTATGCTCACCAAGGGCAAAACTGAGGAGTAGCTGATCCAAAAGCTGCAAAAATAAGTCCCAGTGGCTCTGCAGTAAGTGAATAATCACAGTAGCAGAAAAATATCTTGATAAAATGGAAAAGAGAAAACAGGAAATGGTTTGCTTCCCTCAAAGTAGAGAGAAGATATCCGTTCTCCTAAGGACACTAGCAAGGACCTGTGGCTTGCTGGTATTAGGAGGGCTTGTACCAGACTTACATTATAGCTTATTTTCCAATTTTTGCTGATTGTTATGTCCAGTCTCCTGTATTTTCACTGCTAATCCAACTCAACCTTCTCTTTCCAAAGCTTATTTCTTTACTTGTGAGTGGAAAAAAAACCCTGTACATCTCCGTAGCTGTACCTGCTTGCTTATAATACATATTTTAAGCAATACACAAAACAAAAATGTAAAAAATGCAATATTTAATTTTTTAACCAAAATAGTAATATAATAATTACAATTTTTTATGTTATGTTATATTTATTTATTTTATGTCTACTTTAAAGACCAATTTACTTGATCAGTTAGTGTTAGGTTGGCCAGTTTGAGCAACACTTAAAATTAGTTTGTGACATTCAGACTTTGTAGGAGTTTACATGTTGAAAACCATCTAAGGAATCTGTTTATAAACAATTATAAAGTGTCATTAATTATAAATAAATTCTTTCCTATGCTCCTCAGCTCCATCTGGTGGCCATAATGTAGTATTACATCACAATACATTTGAACTTAAAAAAAAAAAAATAAGAACATTTGTTTTTGCCCAAATTGGGCATTCACAGATAATTGCTAGCCGAAGGGCTATCCAGATAAACCCCTAAGCAACTAGATGATCATTTTTTTTACATAAACCCATACATATTCCATCTACCCGTCGGTCCACAGTCTGATGTTTTTCCCCTAAATTTTGAGGCAACTGCCAATCCAGGAAAACATCATCCACTGCACTAGATCAAGTCCACATGAATCACATAAACAGCAATCCTACAGAAACAAAGAAAACCTGTCATCTGTCATTTGTAGGAATAGTCTTGTAAGGGTTCATGATGCCTTTTGGATCCAGCATGTGTTTTATTTTCTGCATAATCTGCACTGCTTCTCTAGATTTGCTGTAATAAATGTGGTCCCTTTTCTTAAATCCCAAACCATGCTCAGCGCTGATGCTGCCATTGTGCTGAGAGGTCCATTCATACACAAAGGGCTCCAACGCAGCTTGTAAAGTATCGCTGTGCGACTTTGCTGTGATGTTCAAATGTAAGTTCCCATCACCTGGATGTTGAATCACAAACAAATGTTAAAAGCACATCTATGTAGTTTACGTTTTATCCTAATGTTCTTCTTTATACGAAAGAATACAAAAGTATGGAAAAGATCTTTAGTATCTCATTTTTGGAGGGTTTCTTTATAAAGGATGTTTCTGTAACAGAAATGATAACTGATCATTTTAAAATACATTTGTTCTATTAATATGCCTGCTCTGATCAGGTATTCTTATAGGTGCCGGTGGCATCTGTCAGAATGCAATGTAAACACCGGCGATTCCTCGATTGACACGCTGTTTGTATTGATGGAGGAATCAGGTAAATTTTTTTCGTTCAGCCCGCGGGTTATACAAAAAAATTGATAGGTGTAAACAAGATTTTGTATAAAAGGCAATGCCACTTAGGTACCTAGGACATGCTTAAGGACTGGAATGGCATACCAAGGATTGTCGTCATGGACAATAAAGGACAGACCTTCGATTAAGAGGCTTTGTTTTTGAATTAATTTGTAATGATCTGTAAGCATCTGTAAAACTACAGCCATCATTATAACATTTGGTTAACTGTGTGCTTTTTTTGGTGTTTGTTGCAATACTTTCTGAAACAGATTGTTTGAAGGCTTAAAGGATAAGTGCACTTTAAGACAAAATG